CCCGCACTGGTCTGAGTGTATGCAAGCGCTGTCTCTCGGAGACCATATACGTAACAGAATCGGTGACTTGCACGGTTGAATCAGAGGTCAGGAGGACAATGACTCTGCTTAAACTCGGCATGTAAACGACTTCGCGGTGCCGGTCGACGTGTGAGCAAGTCATCTTGTCCCGCACAGGATGGCCAGCATTGGTTTACCCCTTGTTATCTGTAGCTCATTTTGGTATTAAATGTTGATGCTAATCAGATCTTGAGTTTTTAATTATTCAGCGAAGTTCGTGTTATGTTTATAAAGCCACGTGGACAGATTTTCATAGATAAATTCACTTTTTTTGCAGGGGGTGCAAACGTTAACCTTACAATAAAAGACATTATTATGGAAGGCGGTTAAAAGGCTCACAGAGCTCTGCGGTCTTATTCTAGTTCTGTTTAGGGTTTAGGGATGGGAGGGGAGGGGGAGGAAAATGCGTATGCGGTTAAATATCCGTGTTTCTTTGCAAGTGTGAACACGTATGCTGGTTTTGTCATTGTCCAGGAGAGCTTTACCGCCGGTAAAAACGCTTTGTACGAGCAGAGGGCTGGGCTGGCAAACTGTATGGCCACTGCTTCTGCCGTCGCAAGTAGTCGTCGACGCTGGAACTTGTGGCGTCTCGCCGACACTTTATTGCTGACTCCGAGTACTTGTTTGTCTTGTATAAATGTCTCAAGGAGCACAACTGGCGCGTTTCGAGCGAGACGAGATTTGGACACTTAGCGCAATGGGTTCTAGTAGTGCAAATTTCAGACAGATACCGAGGAGTCCATTTTTTGTAGAAAGTACTTTCGTCTGGAGTTTAGGGAGTCTAAGCACTCAATCTAAACGAGCGGCAGTACGGTTATGCATAAGGGGTTGTAGAATACGTACTGTCAAGAAAACGTTTGCGGTGGGTTTTTGATGCCTGAAATTCAAATGTTCATAAGCAGGAGATCGCTATTCGACTCCCAGGAATTTAGGCGGATACCACCGTCAAGGCACTGTCATACGGAAAAACTGATGCTTTGAACATTTTCTAGTTTATCCGATCCTCCACAATTTGCACATAAAGCGAAACGTAGTACTTTAGAAAATGTCACACTTGTGGTCCACTCTGCCCTAAAAGAATTAGTTATGGGTTGTCGCGATTATGCAGGTGCTTTTCTTGAATACTCCTCTGCATTCAATACCGCCCTGCACCCTCTTCTCCTTACCAAAACATCCGCATGCGGCTCCGAAGGCAGGGTCGCCTCTTAGCCTAGCGATTATTTTACTTACCGCACTCAGTTTGTCCAACCCGACAAGCGGAAATCTGCAGGCCTTACCAATGATTGCGAAGTTCCCCAAGGTTCAATTCTATCCCCTCACCTTTTTTTCTCTCCACACTGATGATCTAAGATCCCCTAAGGGCTGTCTCTAGATTAAGTATGTTGATGGTATGGTTGTTGAACACGTTCTCAAAAATCGGGCACACCGCCAGTCTCTAAAGGATGGCCTTGGCCATGTCTCTAAATGGTTGTTGGAAAGTGGCCTCCTGATGAACAACAAAAAATCAGTTCAGTGTATTTTCCGACTATGTCCCTCTTCTAGTCCTCCCCTCCTCGTATATTGCTCTCCTGTAATTTTCCCTGCTTTGTTCAAAAAAGGTTATTTTGATTTTGAATCGAGTCCTCCAAATCTCTCTTCTACCGCTGGTGTTTCTTACCTCTTTTTAGTCGATATTATTCTACAACGACATTTTAATACGCCAAAGCAATTTGCTAGCCGAATTCTAGATGCTTTTTGCCATCCCTTGCATTCTGATCTTATTTCTGCGAAGTCTTCCCGCCCGATGCGCCGTGGCTTCCGACTAATGTCTTGTCTCACATCGGCTTTTCGAGATTCTGTATTGCCATTCCGGACGCTCTATCGTACGCATGAAGAAATTGAAATACAAGTGCTAAAGCTGAAACTGTCCTCATAATATTCGTTCTTTCTGTGTTAAAATCTTTGACTCTGGAATAATCTATTAACGTGTTTATTGGTAATAGTAAATGAAGCCAGTTGTTGCAGAAAAGTTTGAATTTATAATTTAAAATAAAGAGAATTCCTCTCTCTCTCTGTATCAAATAAAATAGGCTATTTAGCAATAGTGGAATGCCTTAAGGAAATTCGGAATCCCCAGTCTGATTACTACCATCAATAAAATTTGGAAATTCAAGTTGGCAAACATGCGTTTTCGGTAATTCTTCGTCAGGCCAATACAAATGCATGAAGGAATGAAAGTTTACAAAATCAACAGTGATTATCGATGTCTCAAGTGCTATTATGTCATTAACACTCATCATCCCCACGCCACACGCATGAAAAGGTTGGCGAGTGTTGTTCCTCAGAGCTAGGGGAGGGGGTAGGGGAGTCTTAAAGTGATGTTCCTGGATTAAGTTCACGGAGTACCCATCACTGTAATTAGGGATTTGAGGCGGCATGGCTTCATCACTTGGGGTTGGCTTTGTCCACGTGAGTGAGATCGCTTGTGTCAGGGTTTTTTGACAGCATCACACTGGATTCGTTGACCGTATAGCTACAGCCTCGGCCATTGCTATTATCCATTGACGTAGACCTTTAGAGAAGCGTGTTGTTGTCCGGTTGACAACCTGAAATGCTTCCTTGGCATGGACTCGGTGATTCGTATTTGCGAGAATGTTAGTCGAAATCGAGCGGGCCTCACCTCTGTCTAACCAGGCGCACATATGTTCACGCACCCTCCTTACCAGGCGTCTCGATGTGCGGCCGATGTATCCCGCTCCACAGGAACAATTGAATGAGTAAATGCACATTGATGTGGCCTCCAACAGTAGTCTTTCTTTACCTCTCAAACGAAGGAGGGGAGAGATTGTGAAGCATACGCGTAAGTTCGCCGCGGGGAATGTTCTCGTGATAGCTCTAGTTAAGAGTTCGCTTTCTACGTCCCCTGCAAAAGGCAATCTTATGAATACCTCCTTATTTTCCGCAATCGCAACAGTAGGTTTTGCGGCACGTTCCCCAATATATCGAAGGATAAATCTATCTGCGTAACAGTTCACCCGACGTGTGTTCCGCAGCTGTTAGAGCTCTGTGTCAATAGCTTCAGGTAAGCAGATGCGTCTCACTCTAGCCGCCAATCCCTGAATTAAATTCCGTATGATGTATACGGGCACACAACTGTGGAACAAAACGTGAGAAATTTAAACTTCCGTATCTTTAATCGAAAATGTATATCTTCTAACATTAAAACATTTTCAGTTTCCTAATTATAATAAATCCCGCCTGTTATTCCACTTAAGGTCGTTGTTTGAAAGACTACATCTTTTACGATTTTTCTTTAAGGATAGTCATGCATTCCCCATGCTGTTAACAACGGGTAGTTGAACAGTGTCAAAAAATTAAAAAGACATTGATTTGGTTGCATACTTTAAAGGGAACATTGACATGCGTTCAGATGAGATATTGCCTATAAAAATGAAGATGTAAGCCCCAGAATACAGCCGGGAAGACGTAAGCGCGATCGCTTAGGCAGTTGCTTTATCTGCTTGCCGTTTCGCGTTCTTCTTCAAACACGTCAACGAAGTATGAATTGGAAACGACGGACAGATAAATCTCTCATTTCAGCAATCGTGCCAACTCTTATCAGCTGCAATGTCACTACACGGACACTTCCTGAAAAATAAGCTTTAATACTTAAAAGCATCGAACATCGACAGGGAAATTGTACTGATTTAAAAGCTGTTTTTCATAAGTTAATCTCTCTTGGTATCCAGAAGTGCGCATTATCAAAGGCCAGAATGCCTTTTGAGATTGTTCTGTCCACTGATCACAATTACAACGTTACCTAGGCAATCTTTTTCCTCCAACCTCTTATGGCAGAACTTCGGTTAATTTTTCGTAAATTGCCTCATGTTCCGTTGAGTTTATTATGCAATGTTCGGCAGTCTGGTTTTTGGTTATTACTAAATAAAAAAAGCGACATTACTCGAGAGACAAGCTTCTACCACATGAAGCCAGCATTCTGAGAAGGAAGAAGGAACGTCACTAAGAGAGAGAGCCGTCAATGAAATGTCTGTTTCACATAGGAACAAGGGAAATAAACAGCAGCGTATGGAATGACAGAACCCTTCACCTTAGGTAGTGCATACGGCGGGATAAAGCCAGTCCATATTATTGTCAAAGCGTCCTCTCATTTATGAGAAGACTGTCGTCAAGGATCATGTATAAGCCTGGTTCAGAAAGAAACCGGCGGAGCATGTGTAAAGGGAATTTGGTAAGTGGGGTTATACGGTTGGGGCCGCTAATCGAGGTGTTAGGAAACTGTTGGATGGAAATTGATAAGACAATCCAAAGAATTACCATGACGTTTTGTGTGTAGTAAGATAGTACGCAGTAGTAAGTCGCGTAATTCAAAAAAGGATAAAAAGAAACTATTAACCTGCTATCGCACATATAAAGGCGTAGGCCGTGTCCTTTGAGTACCAGGTAATTACGGCGATGTGTGTGGTTGGCATATGCATAGGAGAATGCCTCTTGCATTTTCTCAACTGCGGACAAATACTTTGCATTCTACTAAAGAATCGCATGTAGGAGGTGAAGAAATATGGGTCTATCTCAACATATTTTCACCACTATGTTAACGTACTGGCTTAGTTTAGAGAATGTCATCCTACCGGGATTAGAGCCGTCGAAGGGCAGACCAGAAACGCCACCGAACAACGTCTTTATAGATGAATATAGCAGACAATAGTGGTATTGAAAATAAACCGCGTGTGTCCGAAAACCCAGCGTGTATTTTAAAATAAAATAGGGAAACTAAAAAACTGTGGCCTGACAACTTAGAACAAACAGTCAGTCAAGCACCTTGGCACAACTCGGTTTTCTCTTCTCTTGATTGGTCGATTAGCGGTGTACACTTTCTCTATATATATATTCTCATCAAATCTTCGCAATTGAGTCTGTCGAGAGATAAGTCTGGCAGCACAATGAATTCCTCTCTGCGCTACTCGCTGCTGCTTCTGATTCTGTGTGTGCTGGGGTCACAGGCCTTCATAAGGAAAACTGTTCGAACTGTCAAGACGGTGGCTCTGATCGGCCCACCCCCGCCTGAGTGCAGAGGCTACATCAAGAAATTCCTAGAGTGGCACACCATAATATCCGGCAACAAGACCCACTCCTGGATTCTTCAGCTGAACTCTACAGAGTCTTGTCAGAAATGCTACGCCCCCGGTGATGAACTCTTCAAGGAAATGAAGGCCTGCATGGACTGCCATAGTGCCTTTTTACCCCACCTGCAGCACAGGCCAAGCTGTGGCAAATGTTTCACTAGCGGTGACACCAAGTTCTGTTACCTGTGCTTCCTGGAGACGAGACGTTTGGTGCAGACTACGATTTGCTATATAGAGGGAGAAGCACAGATGAAGGCTGATAAGCTGACGCTCTACCTCAAAGGGCTTCTTTAAATGCAATAGTCAAAACGTGGTCGCGGTCGGTTTGAGGAAGTTCCCTCCTGACTTCTGATTTGTGACATTTTTTACTTTGGAATAAAAACAGATGAATGAAATGCAATTGTGTTTGGTTCTCTCATATTAAAATGAGATTTCGAAGAAAGAGTTGAGATTAACATCTCGTGTCTGGGAGTCCTGAATTGTGCTTTTAAACTAATAATATTGAAGTGGGGGTTGCCGTTTGCATGGAGGGAATAAAAAATCTTCTTTAACTCACGCCATAGTCTAGTTGAGCATCAGCCGCAGAGCAATATGACAGAGCATTCAAATAGGCGATCATCTCTGGGTACCTTGTATAACGTATAAGAACGCTGTTGATACATTACTTTCTAACTAGCCACATTCGACATTCGTTGAGGAGGGGCTGAGGAACCTCGGTAAGCAGAGTAATTACCCATCAGGAGATTGGCTGAAGAAGGTGTTTTCGCGCATTCCCACTTGGCAAGAACACGATCTGTTATCTCTTTCGGGTGACTGTGATATATGACCGTAGATATCTTATGTAGGTTAAACTCTTTTTACTAGGACAGTGTAGCATGAAAATTTACAAACATGAGATTTGACAAGACATGGGACTGATAATGGAGATTTAGGATCTTTATTTTAACGTTACCTCATCCGCTGCACACAGACGGCTAGAACGTGATATTTCGCAGCTAAAATCGTCCGTCAAGTGAAGCTGTACGTTCTTATACTTTGGTAATATCAAGCATTTGTTTCTTTAGTAAACCATGTGTGACACGGTCACATTCAAGAGTCGTCCGAGTAATTTTCCGACCATTTATCGTTATCAGGGAGTTATATTTGAAAACGGCATTGTCTTAGACTACAAAGTTAACTAAAGAAGCTGCACGGTAGAATCCTGAGATGAGATGCGTATTCATAAGCTGATAAAACAACGTACACGGAAGTCTTCACGGTGAGAATTTGTTCGCTAAACTGAAAATAGAAGTCGAAAATAATGTGGAGGTTTGAAGACATCTGAACCTCAAGTGGAATTTAACTAACAGTCTACTATTCGAAGCTGAATTATTACTTCACTAGGAAGCGCATACAGCAATTAATGAATCAAATCAATGAAATTAATCCTCAAATATAAGCATACTAATTGGATATGGACTCTTCATGCGATTTTATTAAATAAATAATTAGAGTGCCGGACAAAAAGACTACCTAAATGGCTTGCCCCTCTTGCATCGATTTTCGATGGCGTCATAAAGTTGGATATATATTTTTCTAGAAAACATGCAAAAAATAAACTTTCTCCGACCGATTTGTCGTAGATCGCGCCATCACCACAGTTTTACTTGAAGAAAGATTACCTTTCGGTTTTTAAAAGGGTTCAGATCGCATATTTTAAGCCCCTGAAATGGCCGATCATGCACGTTTATAGATCGTCCTCATAAAACCTACGACATAATTATCATATACTGCAAAATATTTGAAGTGTTTATGATTTATTGTTAATAAATAGAGGGATATATATATATTTTTCTTACGCGGAGGGCATACATCAAATAGATGCAAATCTTAAAACGTCAACGCGACGGCTGATGGGACTCAAAATTACTCACGGATGGGAAGATTCCAGAAAAACACAACTAAACCCTTTTTTCGAGTATGAAGTGCTAAGAAGAAGGGATCCGCTACCAAATGAGAAGGTATATTTTAAGTGCGTTTTTCGCAAAATATATTTGAATTTGTAAGGCCATGGAGAATGAATTCAAGCGTTTATACTACTCGGGCGGTCATTACTCATTGAGTGCAATTTGTACAAGAGGCTGAAAAGGAGTACAGTCAAAAGCCAGCGCTCTGGTGAGTTCGAAATATTGTGGGATTACATCGCATAGAAATGCGTATAACAATCCCACCTAGGTGATCATTCCTAGTCGAAAATGCACTTCAGAATTTCAGCTAACGTTCAATGAGATCGGCCACTAAAATTATTCAGACATTAAATGGTCTCAGGCCAGTGCTGGTTGACGGGAGCTCATCCAAAATGTAGACGATGCATTATCTTATTATATGAAAATCAATCTAACCAGCCGGTATGTGTAGCTCTCACTACCCTTAAAACTGAGTGCTTTCGTCTACGGCGAACGCCTGATTTCCGTTTAATGAGAGTTTTTTCAACACACAGGCACGATGAATTATAAAGCACTCCATTTCAATTAGAATTATCGCCAGTCCCCGCTTCATGAACTGTTTTCAAATAACTACCTGGAGTGTGTATCCATACTGTGTCATCCACTTAATTTTCAATTGGAGGTATCGTCAATCTGCGCATCATGAACCCTTATTCAATGAATAACTGTGGTATATATTCATACTGCGTCATAGTTCTGGTTCGTTGCCATCTTCCAACGACCTCGTCATAGCTCTCCCTCCTGTAGCCTGTTTAAAATTAAGATGTCTCGATGCGTTACTACGAAAAGATTAACCCAACCTTCACTTTCCTTCTAGGTTATTCTGCAGTCTTTCACCAGCAGACGTTGGGTTATCCAGGGACCACTTCAGAGATGCACTGGCTGGCTGACGTTTTCAGCATCAATCAAAGAAGTATGAATACGGCCTTTTCAGCGACGATGGTGAGTAATCACCTTAGGACCCCCCTTTGGTTTGTTGCATACGTGGTGCCATCTTCGTCCTTGAAGTGCTCACTCCGCAGTCATGTCTCTTTGAACGTCAAACTATACCGCAAAGCCTGGCTGTAGATGCTGATGCTGCCTGGAATGCAAATTAAATCACATTAACTCCCGCTCTTGTCTAGATGAATGTCAATTGCGGTACATCAAGCACGTACCCTATGTGTCTGACAGGGAGCTGGCAAAGTCAAGTGTCGGTCAGAAGACGTTCTTTGCTCATGTTCTGCCCGTTAAACTGGGCTGTCACATGCTGCTTGCGCAGTTCCAGGGTAAACCACTAACTGACTGTCTGGATTATATTGCAATGTATTGTTGTCGGGTGTAGTTACTTCCTTGTATGTACCCATGTAGTACAACGTCTGCCTAACCATGAAAGCGCCACAATAGACTGCGCACACTACGACCCGAATACTTTCCCAAAATAATCCAGCCTTGTGCACTACTTCGTAAAATCACCGGATTATCGAATAGATCATCGATACTGGATCAAGTAAACACCATGTAAAGTTAATCAGCAACAAAAGAAAGTAATGCAAACGGCTTGATTCTTGTAGTTTACTCTTTATTTCAACCACTCTAAGCATGTGATTGGCGTATTGTCGAAAAGTAAGCACGGTGGGCTCTCTGGCAACGTTCGCATTGCGTAGGACGTATTCTCAATATTGCAGATAGAACTCATTAGTATTGCTGCCGATGATGATGAATACGTCACAAGTTGAATCACTTTAGTTCTCCGATAATGGCATCTCACGAATTCAAACAAACAATTTGGCTTCCTAATCATTACCGGAGGCTGCCCTATAATGGCGTCTCATGAATTCAAACAAAACGTTTGGATTCGGGAAAGGGATAAGCGGCGTGCAGTGGGGGAGGGCACAAATGGAACCATACTACTACACTCCCCATTGGTAGCGGTCAATGATCACAGTGGAGGCGACGGCTATTCGTTTGCATAGTTCGGTCATATTGCTTCAGCAACATCGCGTTGACTCTGCAGTTACCGTAGTCAGAAACCCACTTAGATGGGACTTGCATGTGATTATTCGAGAAGTGGAGCCTACACAGACGAAAGCTATTGATTGCACTACAAACTGCCCCACACACATCACTATAATTTCCTTCCTTCTCTCAATAAAAACATTTCCCACGACCCCTTTAAAAAAACTGTCCCAATTGGAGTTGTTTGTCCAAGATGACAGCCGACTTTGAAGTTTCAATTTTTCATGTAACACGAAAATCATGAATTACTGTCACCAAAATAGTGTGATCAAGCTTTTTTTAATGAGGAATAGAAAGTGGTAGTTAATAAAATTGCCGCAGCAAATAACACTTTCAAGCAATGACAGACGGTTTATTTGGTAGAACATTTTGTAATGTGCGGAAAACCTCACTGGTGCTTACTTCAATAGTTATGCAGAAATCTTTTTGGATCAAACGCCCAACATAGGGTAGTCAAGCCTATTCATAACTGCATTTAAATCTGTTTTGAATTACAATACCGGAGTAAGTTTACTTTGCTGAATGTATGTGCAAGGTCGGTTTCCTCATGATGACTCGCGTCTTGAGCCTCCCAGGAGTTGTACTGTGTATAACCCTGCACGGTTAAACATCAATCTTGCAGATGCGGATGCACTGGTTGCGTTTAAAATAAAAACCGTTTGCAGGAAAAACTCTCCGAATCAGTATCAAATGGTTTCGTGCAGAATTTGCGTAATAATTATGGCAGGAAATTCACAAAACATGCCGAAGACTAACCGGAAGAGGTATGAACAAAAAGAGGAGTAGAGCCTGTCCGCCACGTCCATCAAAGACAAATGACTACTGATAGTCTGGACGAGGAGGATAAATGCCAGCTGAGTACTTCAAAGAGCCAGTCTCTGAAAATACGGTCAGAAACGGAGATGGCTTCATTGCCTCGAAAACTACAAAAGATGATGCTCAAACAGCCCTGCCGCTCGCCCCAAAACGACATGAAGCAAGTATTCATTGGTGGTGCTTGACGAAAGTTTAGCTGGGTATTTTCACTGCGTTTTCTACATGCTGATGATTTGGTCGAATTGAGGTATCATCTCAAATCAAAACCCAATGGAGTTTACTTTACAACCCACAATCGCCTTCCACACCAGGAAGACTTGAAAGTGGTATGAGCACAAGGAAATTCCAACAAACGAAGTCGACTTTTACCGTAATCGCTCTCTCCTTTGCAAAAATGTGGTCGAAGTGGATTTTGCGTGCCTCCTTTGCAAGTTCCTGAAGACGAAAGGGGGCGGGCTGTAGTGATCCACCTCTAAGACAGGCAAATGTTTTTAA